GTATATATCATGCTGCTCGAATGAAAATGTACTTTTGTCTTCATTTGATTAATAAATTGACGATCTAGCCTGGCTACGGGTACACAAAAAAAAAAAAAAATCAATTAGTTGATTATTTATAATATTCTTTTATGAGATCTTTTTGTAGTTCATTCGTAAATATAACTATATTATTTCTAATTAAATACTGTAACAAAACAATTCATAAAAATTTTTATAATAATTAATTGTATTAATATTAATAATACATAATACATTCTCTTCCATTGTAAAAATAACATACGCATCTCTCTTATTACTCGTGATTAGATCGTAGCACCTCAAATGGGTAAGGTTTTTATTTGTCCGAAATTTATATTATTCTATAAAATACACCATTATACAATTTTTAGATATTAGTATAATTCTCATTAATAAAAGTTGTGAATGTGTCTAGAAAGTCCATTAATTAGAATACAAACGAAAAGTTACAATTTCATATAAATTTGACAAACAGAAATCTATAAACTCCCCATTATAAAGCTCTATTATTATATTATCTTGTGTTCAAATTAAATGCTGTTCTTGTTTAATGTGGTAGTAAATGTGCAAATGACATTTCCGGAATCATCATGGCTCAAGTTATATAAACATTGGAATTGTTCATATCAGCTCATTTGGATTCAGTTAAGTTTCTCCACCCAATCACAAAAGTGAATTTTGCTGAAATCCACGATTTTGTTGGCCATTAGGGTAACCACCAGTATGTTGAAGACCATATAATGTCAATGGTTGTTGCTGTTGATTCATTCCTCCATTAGGTGTCATTGATGAATACGAAGAGTTTGGAGCTCCCAGATTCATAGAGTTGCCAGGATTTAATGCAAATGCCGATGTCGCATTACCTGGAGGAATTGAGCTTTGTTGACTAAAAGTTCCCATCGCAGTAATATTACTTTGCATTACAGTAGGCTGGTAATTATTATTCTTGTATTAGCAAATTATTAAAGTTTAAATTAAATGACGTTACGAAAAACTTACAGAATTGTTTGTTGCTGGAGCTGGTATCCCACCATAGCCATAATTTGTCGCCAAACCATTGGTGCCATTACTTAAAGGGTTCAATCCACTATATCCGTTATTTAAATCCCCAGCTCCAAAAGAATTAGTACTATTCGCGGGAGCTCCAGTATATGCACCAACACTAGGGAAACCCATAAATTGATTAATGTTTCCATAAGGAATCATGTTGTTAGATGTTCCATCATTATTCAGACCAAAGTCATTCTTCTGATTAGGAAAGCCAAGCTGTCCATTTGGGCTTTGTTGTGGTTGATTTAAGCGTTGTTGCATCATCCCAGTACTTGTAATTCCAAATTGTCCCGGCTGACTTTGCATCATTCCAGTGGAAGAAGCCTGATTCATACTAGTGTATGCAGATGGTTGCGGTTGATTATAAAGAGACATTATTGCGTTCTTGTCAAGTTTTGCTTTTTGTTGCTGTTGAAATTGTATATTCGCTAAATTCGGAATTAAGGCAGATTAATTTAAGCAAATCAGAAAGAGTATTGCACAAAAATGGTACAAACTCTAACCTTGAGAAAACTCTCCCCAAATATCGGTCAAGTTCGAGGATTGATTTTGACCGGGTAATTGTTGTGAACCGGAGTTTTGTGGTGGAGAGAAAGAACCAAGGAGTGTTTGATTTTGTAATTGAAGAGGATTTTGGGTGGTCGAATTAGAGACGTTTTCCAACGTCGCTGAATGTCGATGTTCTGCGAGTAAAGTGGCGGCCACTTCTACATTCCCACCTGTCCTTCGAAGAATCTCACGGTTCTTTGCATCATCGCGAAACCCGAGATTTTTCAAATGAGTCAGTTTTTCGTCGTCCGATTTATGCAGAGTATTAGAAATACTAGAAGCGTTGGAATTGAGTGACGCGGATTTCGTTTTTCCACCAGATAAGCGACATAAAATTTCAATAGCTGAGCTGAGATCACCATTTGTAGTAGCTAAAACTTCGCGGTTACGAGTCATATCGCCAAAGCCCATATCCTTGAGCTGACGAAGCGCTAGATCAAAATTTCCTCGATCAACACTTTTTGTATTATTATTGGTGGTGCGTTTCGATGAAGAAGTAGAATTTTTCGATTGTAGAGGCTATAATAAAGAAATTTAATTAAAAATATTTTTAACTTCAAAAAGAACTAAGAATAATATTTCGTGTTACCTTGCTGTCTTTAAAAGCCATCCGTTCATATTTGTTCCGTATGTATCTTTCAATTTCACTAAAATTATGGAAATCGTGAATAAGATATACATACGTATTAATAAATGAATGCCTCATATTTACCCATCAGAAGCACTGATTGATATAGGATGTAATTCAGGATAAGGATTCCACTTGGCATTTGACTTCAAGTTACCCCATTGTTTCATGGACTTAAATATTTTTAATAAAAATTAATAAAGCTTTCATAGAAAAAAGGTGATCATGCTTCCTCTCAACTACCTCTATTTGTTCTGGTGTCCAAGAGTCCAAGGTTATAGACTTGACCTTGGAAATGTGAGTTCCCATTTTGCGGTGAAACCCACAACAACGAATACAAAGAAAAATACCGAGATTGTAAGATGCCCATCGTGGTCCTAAAAATATTTAGGAAAAGACGTTTTTAAAAAAGCCAATGTCAGTAGAAATTCTTGATTCATGTCCGTCGAATGAATCGCAGCGACCATATGAAAAGGCGTTTAGCATCAGCTTCTCCAAAAGCAAGACCGTGAGTGTATCGAAGCAACCGGTTGATAGTCTGACCTTTTGCGCCACAATCTGCACATGTGTCGTTCCCAGGTTGTTTAGAAAGTTCAAGTAAAATACTCTCGTGCTTTTCGTTGACAACTTTTTTAGCTCTATCCATGGTGCGTGTGCGAAGAGGAAATTATAGAAATGAAAGTATGAATTCCAGTAGCTAATTATTATACACAATATTTGGAGACAGAGTTGAGCGTCGCTTTATATTACTCACTCCCTTCTATTCATTGGTTAATCATCGTTATTGGCTACGTGAGCACTAGTATATATAAGGCAGTCGCATTTAGACTTAAAGTTACACATTTTATTTCTCCTTATCATTTAAAATGTCTTCACAAGGAGAGTTGTCTACAGCAGAATTGGAATCCTCGCTTAAGGAGAATGAGAATTCTTTGACTGAAATCAATGAACTTTTGGTTTTAAGTCCAGAAGAACCTGAACTCGTTAATCTTGCCGAAGTGCTACAAAATTTAATAAAGTTACAACGTGAACAGCTTCTGCAACTGAAGAAAAATGATTTACTTGCACTTATTGGATGTTCAGCTGAACCGTCAAATAATGAAATGGGAGACATGGTGAGGACCTTGTATAGTAAATATCGAGGCAATGGATCAAAAAAATTTAAATGTTGATTTCCCTTTTTTGCTCTTTGGAATGCATAAGTCGAATTCTTCAGAAATTTCAGTGACACTCGACGGAGGAAATCCCATTAATTCCAGTGCAGTCTTAAGTGATTTTCAAGTTGGCGAAAAATGCTGCATACCATTTACCCACCCAGAGTACCAGAAAGTATACTTCCTTCCCGGTTTGATACAAAATATCAATTATGATGGAAATACTTGTAATATTCTGATTTTGACACCCATCACACCGTCTACACGAGTCTGCAAGAGATATCTATCAAATAAATGTGCAGGAATTTGTCCACAAGGGCGTTCTCACGGAGAAGAAATTTCTTCGGAATTTGTTGTTCCATACGAAATCTTGCATATCGGTCAAATTGATGCATATAAAGTCGGACGAAATTTTTGGGCAAAGTACAAAGATGAAGTTTGGTATTTAGCAAAACTCATTGGTCTCGAATCTAAGGGCTCGGGTTTCCGAGTGATATATAAAGGATACGAAAACGAAAACCCAAATGGGATAGTAGTTGGACCCGATGAAATAATACCGGTTCAATCACTTGATGATGACGAAGGAGGCAAAGAAGAAATTTTCTCCGAGGATAAGTCGGAAAGCGACTACTCTAATGATGAAAGTGATAGTTTTAGCGACGACTTTGTGCCAAGTGATACCCCGCCTCTTTCGGGAACAGAGACGGGATTTGGTCGAGTGTCATTGGAAACATTTAATAACCAAGACAAGGATAATAGTAATTTTGCAGAATGGGAGAAACATACAACAGGAGTTGCTAGTCGAATGATGGCAAAGATGGGCTATAAGATGGTATGCAGATGAACACTTTAATAAAAATTGACCTGATGAGAATATAATATTTTTAGTTTTTCTATTTAGGGTGAAGGATTAGGTAAGAACGGTGAGGGTATTATAGACCCAATTGAAGTCAAAATTTTTTCCCAAGGTGTATCCTTGGACTACATTGACGAATCAGATAAAATTGGGTCACATCGACATCGTCGTCACAAACGCGGGACTGAAGTTCAGTCAAAGAGACCCAGGCGTCGCAAACGTATTGGTTCCGACACTAGAACTTCCTCGAAAAGTGATGTTGCTGTTGAATCGCAGACGAATGTTTTCGATTTTCTGAACGCCTCTCTTAATAAGGGAGGAAGCGGAATATGTGATACGAACAATATCAAAGTATCATCTTTGTCTTCTTCGAATGAGTCATCAAATTCCACAGTAAACGGATTGAAACGTGACCGTAGACCCGCGGAGACCAATCATAACCTAGCGTTATATCAGATACAACAACAATTAAATCAAACACAACGAGAACTTCAGAAGGCCAAAGAATCTTTGCAGAGAAATGAAAAGAAAGATCCAACTATGGCTAAACATTTTCGAGAAAAAGTTAATCAAATGGAGGCAACTCATCACGCATTGAAGAAAAAGGAGATGGAAATTCAAAACGGTATAAGTAAAGAAAAAGGACGAAAAAAGATGATCGTGTTTTGATAGTTTTGATAACAATTCTACTTGGAATTCCTCTCTTTTCTCTCTTTTTGTAAATTAGTTTATTTTTTAATCAAAACGTCCTGTAAAAATATTTTCGGTTTTTTCCATAATTTATTATCTGATGCGAACACTAAATTAAAATCTATACTCAATTGATTTCCGGATGCATACTATATTGCTGGAAATTAAAGTTGGTATTTCCGTTGTGACACGTGCATGTCAAATTATTAACATAGTGTAATCTAGGTGCATTAGAATCTGTACGAGTTCACGATTACATTAAGAAATTAGATTCCTTCGCTAATCTAACAAAAGTTTTTTCGCCATCCTCGCTTCCAAGTCAACCAATAATCTACCCATACTCAAGCAAAATGGTAATAAGCATAGTAGAGAAATGATGCTCAATATAAATAACAAAATGATTAATGTGAACATTACAATGGATGTTACGAGTTTCGCAAAGAAGAAGTACATAACTGCCCGAACAGTGAATTCATCTTTGGAAAGTGCAAATAGATATTTGAATCTTCCTTGGGAATGATCATGGTCAATAGAGCTGAAGTATAATATTGGGGATGTCTGTGTGATCGGTGGAAGTTGGATATACGTTGTCAAAGCAGCATCTGGAGATTGGGTGATTGAATTTAATATTATAATCTCTAATCTTGCAAGCATTCTAGTAGATAAAATGATTTTTTTTTTTTTTTTTTTTTGGTGAATGTTACGAAAATATCACACAACTATTATCACATTTCACGTGAAGTAATTAAGTACCTCCATGAATAAACCGAGAAAAGCAAAAACACATAGCCAAGCGGTGGAATTACAAGCGAGCAAATGCTTCCGATAAGAGTCCCGGTCACCCATCCAAAGCAAAAGAATGCATAAGGGAGATCCCATAACATTAGATACAATATCGCTACCCAATTCCGTGCTTCTTTAAGAGGAGTAAAATACGATTTTTTTTGACGTTTATATTGATGAATTTTTCGCGAAGAATATGAAACATTTTGATAATCAAGTGGTCGCAAAGGAACATCCCCAAACACGGAAAAGGTGTATGCTGAACCCGAAGAAGTTACGACATCATTATAACTAGGTGGCGCATGAACCGATATTTGCAAATTTTTTGAATGTGGTTTCTTTTGGTCCAACATTATCAAAAAATTCGTAATCCGTAATGTGGAAACAAAGCTTATAATTTATTTTTTCTGAGATACGTATACAATCGCACATGCATCGACTGAAAGGTGATACAGCAGAAAATTAGTTTCGCTTACAATAATGTACTAGTGTTCGGTAAGGATGTGCCAAAAATTGTCGGCCCGCATTTCCATCGACCAAAAAGTTATCTGGTACTAGTAGGCGGTTCCTATTTATAAGTTGGACGTTTATATAGTGGATATAAGAACCAAGTTCTTTGGCAACGAACTTCCATGCTTTTTATAGTTAAAGTACATCGTGGCGTAATCCACATTGATCCATTAGTTCAAAGAACAACTGTATCTTTTATTTGTAATTTATTTGTAGAATGTGGGATCATTGTAGTATCATGTGAACTAAATGCCAAGAAATTTTTATTTTCATTTATTATAAAAAAATTTTTATAAAAAATTTTTAAAAAAGATTAATTTAATATATAAAGTTAAATTTACAAAATAAAAAAAAATTTGGTTAAAATAAAATAAATCTAATTATTAGATAACCTATTATCAAAAAGTTTTTAATAGAATTAATATTTATTTATATTTAAAATAATTAATTAAATTAATTATTTAAAGAATTTAAAATATTCTGTTGCTTCTAAAAGTTTGAGTCTAGTTACTATGTTTTTATTATAAATTTTAACTTTATTAATTTTTAAATCCTTAATTATTTAATCAAAAATTATAAAAATTATATACTGTATATTATATCTTTATACTAATTTTATTTTTAATATTTTTTTTAAAAAATTTTATATATAATTTTTTAAAGTTTTATTATTGTTAAATATCTTTATTTTTTTTATTAATTATTATATAATTTATGATATCAATCAATCAAAATCCTTCAAAATTAAAAATTTAATAAAGAAAGAAATTTTTTAACAATAATAAAACTTTAAAAATTAAATATATATAATTTTTTAAAAAAATATAATAAATAAAACTAGTATTTAAATATAGTATACAGTATATGGATTTTATAATTTTTGATTATATAATTAAGGATTTAAAAAAAGCAAACAAAAAAATTTACAAATATATCAGCAAAGAAGTTAAAGATAAAAAAGAAATCCAACCTGTAATAAATAATGGAATAGATAAATTATTAAAAGAAATTCAGAAATTTGATAAGGACTTTTTTATATAAAAGAAAATAAGACTATCTTTTTGAAAAAATTTCTCAAAAAACAATTCAAAATCCTATCTATAACTATATAAAGTATAATCAATAAGCTTTATCAAAAGATATGCATAAATTTCAAAAAGACGATCTGAAATAATTGCTATATTAAAATTATAGAATAGAAAATGAAGTAAAATATTATAGAAAAGGATAAAAGAAATAAAAGACATAAGCACAGATTTAATATATAAACTGGATAGGATCAAAAAGTCGTATTTTTAACTCTAAAGGATCTAAATCTAAAAGGTACTAAGAAAAAGAAAAAAGAAATATATAGTAATTATTAAGAATTGAATTTGTTATAAAATTAAATAGTTTGGTTTTTAACTATAGATAAAACTTAGAATGATTTATAGTAATGCCTTGTAAGTAAAGATATGTCCTTAAAGAAGGAGACAAAAACAAAAGTTAAATATCCTTTACTAGAAAACACTAAAATTTTTAAATTAATAATTATAAAAAAATTATTTATAATTGTTTTTCATTATAAAAATTACTAATTTATAATATTTCTTGACTTTTGTTCCTATTAAGGTGAAAAGTTATGAATTTAGTTTCTCAAAAGAGGACATAAGTAATTTGCGAAATTTTATATGCTAAATATTTTAGGGACTCATTATTACCTGTAAATAATAATTTTATTAATTAGAAGAATTATTCAAATTAATAAAGAAGTAAAATATCATTTTCTAGGTTACATTTAGAGAAATAGTTTTTTGATGATAAGTGAATTAGTATGTGAAAGTTGCAACAATTTGTAAATATCTAATATATATACTATACAATAAAAATATGTCATATTGTTCTAACTATATATTTAAAAAAATAAAATAAATAATAACAATAATAATTAAGGATTTAAAAATTGTTAAATTGAAATTTATAATAAAAGTATAGTAAGTAGATTCAAACTTTTAAAAATAACTATATATAAATTTTATAATTTTTAATTGTATAATTAAAGATATAAAAAGTAATTTCTTTTTTTTTAAACTAGTTCAACTGATAAGACAAACTTTATTAAGTATTCAATAGTATTAGATTTATGAGCAATTTATATAACCTTAATTAAACTACCTATTCTAACTAAGTCTATCAATTTTACCATATAGTGATATCATTTTTGTCAGTTGCCCTGCTCTGTTTGGGACTATAGCATTCCAAAGATCCACTATGAACTTCTATTATTAATCTTCAAGGAACTTGTGTTCTATATTCCTTAGTGGGGTTTTTGTTTACTGCTTGATAATTGTAAGTACTATAGATAATCTTTACTATGTTTGGATTCTCCGCAGGCTAGTTAAAACTTAGATGATATAGTCCTCCGATCATGTTCTTAATATCCAAATAATTCAATGGTATTATGTAATTGGGTAATATATAATCTTCTATTGCCTAATTTTTAATTACTCTTGCAAGCTGACCTAGATTTTTCTTGGTTGTTACTTTCTGATTTACTTTTCCAAATTTCTAGTCCACCCTTACAGTTCCCAACATAACACTAACGCTAATCACCAGCTTCTGCAATAGTTGTTCTCTTTGATAGTCATTGGTTTCACAACCATAAAAGTCTCCCATTAATTATTGTTATAGCCCATTACATTTTGACAAGTATAAATAATTGAAGTCTCCCTTATCTCCCATAGGGTGTAGTTTTGACAAGAGGTGAATATCTTTCTCATATCCATTAAGAGACGAACTGATCAATATTCTTTTTTGACTTGTCTTTGGATCTTATATATTCTAGGCAACAGGTTGATTGAAGGTTTCCTTAGTGCTAAAACCAGTCAAGACTTGAGTGACCTATTTTATATCATGATCAAATAATAGAAATCTATAGATTCTTATGAGTACAAAGGTATATATGATGATAAGCATGTATCTTATACAATGTAACCTATATTATAAGAACTATTCTCAAGTGGAATTAAACCAGTAACTCGCAAGTAGTGATCTGGAAGTGCACCCATTGCACTATTGATTCACAGATCTTGATTTAAAAATTAATAAAATTGAAATTTATAATTAAAATATAATAATTTAACTCAAACTTTTGAAAATAACTATATATTTTATTATAAATTTTAACTTTATTTATTTATTTTAAAGTCATGTTAATTGAGCTTTATTAATTAGATTGTATAAAATATATAGTTTGATTTACAAAAGTAATTCTTATAACTTCTAGCCTATACTATCTTAATCTGATACAAATTATTCAATTTTACCTATTGAAAATATCATTTTGTCAATTATTTACTATATTTGAATTATCTAATGTTTCAAGGATTTACTAGAGAATTTTTTCTTTTTATTTGAAAAACTATTTTAGGATATGTTCACTTTATGAAATTTGTTTTTTATGAAGTATATTTGAATTATATGACATACTTGTTATGTTTAATCCTTAAAGATTAATTATCTATTAATGTCCTTAATCTTCATATGATTCCAAATAAATCTTCTAGCAGCCATTAATAAGCCATATTAATAATCTGAGTCTTTCAGTAATTATTCTTAATTATTTTTCAAATATAGTCTATAGAAATTTTTCTTGATTAAACAAGATTACAAGTTTATTCTAATTATATTTATTTCTATAGTTTTCA